ATTATTCCAGCTACCATTCTCAGTTTTCTTGAATCCCAACTTCAGGTCAAATTTCTTATATATTCATTTGTATTATACTATATAATGATCGATTCATTTCCTCTTTTATGGCTTTAATTTTTGCATGTTGTAACAACCCAGTCCCACTATTGATATTGTCCGTCTTGGGTTTTCAACTTTTCATATAAAAGATAGAGTATAAAAAATATTACCAATCCCTGGAACCTGGCCCCTTTAAGGACAAAACTAGGTTCGTTCGATATCTCAAACTTAACTATCTTTACATGGCAATCGAAGATAGCATAGAAAGAAGATAACCAATCCATGCCCATCTGTATGCGTCAAAGTCAATCATATCAAGTACAATTAGGTAGCTAGATCTCTAACCTCAACCCAAATCGGACAATATCATTAGTGACTGCACTGCACTGTAACACATACATGACAAATAAAATTGATAGCATGAAATTTACAGGAGTTAGATGGTAATGATGCGAGACTTGCAGATTACTTTGACGTGATTGCTGGAACGAGCACTGGTGGTCTTGTGACGGCCATGCTAACTGCTCCTGACGAAAATGATCGTCCACTTTATGCTGCCAAAGATATTACACCATTCTACTTAGAACACTGTCCAAAGATCTTTCCACAAAAGAAATGGTATATATACAATTATATAAATTGCTCTCTGGTACTGTACATTTCCATTCTTTTTGTGCTAACGCTAAACTGAATTTTACAATTTTGATGAATTAACAAATATGTAGCGGTTTGTTTGCTCCAATTGGGAACATGGTGCAAGCTATAATAGGACCAAAATACGATGGAAAATACCTGCATGAAGTCGTCAAGGAGAAGTTGAAAGATACTCGTCTTAGCAATACGATTACTAACGTTGTCATTCCCACTTTTGATATCAAGAAATTGCAGCCAACCATCTTCTCCACTTATGAGGTACATCTCCGTATTAATTCATCACTTAATAATATTATATGGTTTGACGCAAACGTGAGTACATGTTTACATTTTATTTAGTTTTGAATTACCAAATGGGATCTTTATTATTTGAATGCAGACGAAACGTTCGGCATGTTATGATGCAAAACTGTCTGATATTTGTATCAGTACATCAGCAGCTCCTACTTATCTTCCTGCTCATTATTTTAAAGTTGAGGATACCAAAG